TCGTGAGAGCGAAGTAGTAGAATTAGAAGTCGTAGTAGTAGTAGTAGTAGTAGTAGTAGTAGTAGTAGTAGTAGTAGTAGTAGTAGTATAGTAGTAGTAGTAGTTGTAGTTGTAGTAGTAGTAGTAGTAGTAGTAGTAGTAGTAGTAGTAGTCGTAGTAGTGGTCGTAGTAGTAGTCGTAGTAGTAGTAGTAGTAGTAGTAGTAGTAGTAGTAGTCGGAGTAGTAGTAGTAGTCGTAGTAGTAGTAGTCGTCTTCGTCGTAGTAGTAGTAGGAGGAGGAGTAGTAGTAGCAGTAGTAGTAGTAGTAGTAGTAGTAGTCGTAGTCGTCGTAGTCGCAGTCGTAGTCGTAGTCGTAGTAGTCGTTGTAGTGGTCATACTACTAGTCCTACTATTGTTAACGGTGCTAACGATTGGACTAATATTGATATTCATAGTATCAGTATTCATTGTACTACCACTATTAATTGTAATTGTAATATGAACATACGTACGAATATTAATGTTTTTATACCAGTGTGTAGAAGAAGAGTAGCAGGAGGAGGAGGAGGAGGTGTAGGATGAGGATGACGAGGAGGAGGAAAGGAGGAGGAGGAGGAGGAGGAGGAGGAGGAGGAGGAGGAGGAGGAGAAGGGAGGAGGATGATGAGGAGGAGGAGGCACAGGAGTCAGAGGAGGCAGAGGAGGCAGAGGAGGCACAGGAGGCAGAGGAGGCAGAGGAGGCAGAGGAGGCAGAGGAGGAGGAGGAGAAGGAGGAGGAAGAGGAGGAGTAGGAGGAAAAGGAGGAAGAGGAGGAGGGGGAGAAGGAGGAGGAGAAGGAGTAGGAGGAGGAGGAGGAGGAGGAGCACGAGCAGGAGTTGAAGGAGGAGCAGGAGGATTCTCCCCCCCTCCGCCTTGGCGGCCTCCGCCGCCGTCTCGGCCGCAGTCGCTCCGAGGCACCCAGCTCTTTCGTCGTCGTCGTCATGGTTCTCGTCCAGCGTCTTGGGGGATTTCTGGAAGTCCATGGAGAACCTCGACGGCCTCTGGGGGCTTCGGAGGCTCCAGAAAAAAATGAAAACTCTAGAGCGCCCTCATCGTCGTCATTCGTCACCGTCGCCGTCGTCATTGTCGTCGCCGCCGTCGTCGTCGTCGTCGTCGTCGTCGTCGTCGTCGTCGTCGTCGTCGTCTGGCGTCTCGGGGGGTCTGGAGTTCCCCAGAGCCCTCCAGAGTTCGGAACTCTGGAGTGGAATTCCGGAACCTCTGCTGCCTCCCCAGAGCCGTCGGAGGTTCTCCCGAAAAGGCCGAAGTGCTGAGCACCTCAATCCCTGATGCTTCTCGTCGTCGTCAGTCTTCACCGTCGCCGTCGCCGTCGCCGTCGCCGTCGCCGTCGCCGTCGCCGTCGTCGTCATCGTCGTCGTCGTCGTCGTCGTCGTCGTCGTCACCGTCGCCGTCGTCGTCACCGTCGTCGTCGTCGTCGCCGCCGTCGTCGGTGTCGTCGTCGTCGTCGTCGTCGTCGTCGTCGTCGTCGTCGTCGTCGTCGTCGTCGTCGTCGTCGTCGACCGTTGCTTTCGCCGTCGCCGTGGGTCACCTCTGTCGTCGGTCGCCATCGCCGTCGCCGTGGGTCACTGTGTGTCGTCGGCCGTCGTCGTCGTCGCCGATCGCCGTCGCTGTCGCCAGCGCCCCGTCCGCGCCGCCAGCCGGTCCATGCTCGGGGGCCTGGGGCTGCGGCAGCCGGACGTGCCGCCGCCCTGCGCGCGGCCGTGGCAGACGGTCAAGTGGCTCCGAGAGCGGGTCGCCGCAGGCGGGCGTCTCGCGGCGTTGAAGTTTCATTTCTGAAGGATTATGCTTGTGGATCCCCCCTGCCCGGTGCCCAGTGTGTTTTTTCGATGAAGGTGCTCCTCCTGGAGGTCGCACCCTGCTTTTAACAAGGGAAAGTCTTGGGCGTCAGACTGCGCCCCTGGCGCCCGACTTACCAACAGCAACGGCTCCCGCGCAATTTATTCAAAAACGCCGCTCTCGCGCTGGACGTCTTCACAACTTATTCAGGAATCGCGCTCTAGCGTGGGACTTCCTCGCAATTTAATGAGACGCCGCGCCAACGGCACTCAGAAATCACGCTCACGCTCTGGACTTTCTGACGATATCCTTGGGAATCGTGCCATCGCAAGAGACTTACGCTTCAGCGACCCGCCCGCTCGACCCGGCCGTCTGGGCCCGCCTGCCCGACTCGCCTGTTAGGTTCCGCCCACCCGACACTCCTGCTCCTAACTCTCCTCCTGCACATCTCTCTCGCGCTCCATCCTTCTCCCTCTCCCTTGTCTCTTCCCTCCTCCCTCCCTTCCTCTGTTTTGGGGGCTGCGCGAACTAAACGTGGCAGGTAAGGAAGGTCTACTCCCAAGTGGGAACGATCGAAGTCGAAGAGGGCGGGTATCGAGGGCTTGTGAGCACGCGAGCAGATTAGAGCGAAGCAGTCTTAAGATGATTGTTGGTTTGGTTGAATTGTCATTTCGACGTAGCAATTTCTGTTGATGCCCCCTGCCCCGTGCACATTGTGTTGGCTCGCACCTTTTTTCGATTGGGGAAAGTATTGGTCCTCAAACATTGTCCAAGGCCCCTGGGTTGCAACAACAACGGCTCCCGCGTGATACTTCCTCACAGTTTATTTAAGATTCGGGCTCTCGCGCGGGGCGCCCTCATAGTTTATGCAGCAATCGCGCTCTCGCGTGGTGCTTCAGTAAAATTTATTGCGGCGCCGTGCCGCCTAGACTCAGGAATTACGCTTTCGCTTTGGATTTCGTCACGATTTACTTGGGAATCGCACTATCTCTCGAACTTTACTCGCGATTCATGTTGGATTGACGCTTCAGCGATCCGCCCGCTCGACCCGGCCGTCTGGGCCCGCCCGCCCCACCTGCCCGTTAGGGTCCGCCCGTCTGGTTCTGCCGCTTGTACTCCTGCTCCTAACCCTCCTCCTGCAAGTCTCTCTCGTGCTCCATCCTGCTTCCTCCCCCTTGTCTCTTCCCTCCTCACTTCCTTGCTCTTTCTTATCGGCGCGGCGCAGCGCGGCGACGAGCGTCGAGCTTAGGGCTCAGCCAGGCCCCAGCCCAGCTGTCCCCGAAGACATGAAGCTCCAGCACGACCCTGATGAAGAGCCCCAGGAGGGCTAGTGTGACCAGTGGCAACCTCAGGACTCTTGGAAGGGATGGCACAAGTGGGACTCAGCACTCCTCGTGGGACGACAGCCAGGGATGGTGGACCTGGGGCGACGCTGCCCGCACTGCGAGGCAGCCCGACCGCGGGAGTCACAGGGAGAGGCCGCAACTTCCACTATGTACCTTTAACCAGATCTCCTAGGAGCTGCTGCCGGGCGAGTCCGAGCGGCAGGCCATCAAGAGGCTGCAGCCTGGTACGCCCACTGCCAAAATGTCGATTGGTTCCAGCGTGTCGCGAGCGCGCCCCTCGACTCATTGCGCCGTTCCCCAGGGGACGCCGTGAACTTTCTCCAGGAACTGGCCGAGGCAGACCAGGATGTCACCAAGTGGGCTAAGCGGCGCGGCCGCCGAGTCGGCTGGGAAGAGGCTCGCCGAGAACAGAGCCAGGCAGATGAACAGCGCCACCGCTAAGGGCTATGGTAAGACGGCGGCTTGGAGCAGCTCAGGTACCACCCCGGCGCAGCGCGACCACTGGGAGCACAACATGGGAGGCCGTTATGACGAGGGATGAGGATGCGACGCCCTCAGGACGGTGACCCTCGCGCCTCTCTGCGCGCCCAGATGCCGCGCTCTGGGCCCCAGGTTGTTGGTCCTTCGCGCTATCTGCTGCCCTTGCGTGTTTGGGCTTTTCGCCCCACCTGGTTCCACTGGTACTGTCCCGAACGGCCGCCAGAGACGCGAGTTATGACCCGAAAGCCACAGGGCAACGTCAGGTGTGGACTGGGCCAGGGCCCGGGGGGGGGAAGCATCGGCCCCCAATCGCGCATCCGTTGCAAGCCGGCTTCCGAGAACAAGGAATGGTACGTTTACCGCAGACCGTCAAGAAGGAACGCTCGTGATATCAAGGGCCAGCACTGCACTCTGGGCCGAGGGGCGGGGAGGGGACTTCTGACAAGCAAGATGTCCACTTGCGTTCTCGCTGGTCTCACGTCTTGGCTCTTGCGCGCTCCTGGCGACAGGCTCAAACGCTCGGCGCTTTCATCATGGAGTTGCTCGGTGCTCGGCGATGTCTGCGACCCTCCGCTCCTCCTGTCTCGGGCTGCACCGCCGCGTGTCGCTGGCTCAGTGCTTCCGCGCCCGCCGAACTCCTAGCGTGCAGTGCACTGCGGAGCCCTCGCGTCCCCCCCCCCTCCCGGGTCCCCTGCAGTCGGTGCCCGATCGATCCCTCCTGTCGGTTGTCCTGGACGTTTTTTCGAGCCACGTGCAGCGCCATGCTTGCCAACGTGGACCCGCAGCAGGGAGCTTTCGCACCCTGGTGGTGTAAACTGTGCGGCAGAAGCTATGTGGTGGAGGCGACGTGGTGAAAGCTATGTGGTGGAAGCTACGTGGCTGAAGCCATGTGGTGGAAACTGTGTGGCAACGCATGCACAGAAATGCTGACAGAAAGCTGTGTCCCACTGAATGGATACGGGAACGCACGAGGCGGAAACGAGGAGGCAACGGGCGGCAACGTGGCGAATCCTCTGGGCACCCTAAGCGATGTGGCTGGCACCGATGCGGTAATTGGTGACAACGTGGCGAATCCTTGACTCACCACGCGACGGGCGACAACATGTGATTGAAATACATCGAAGAATTTTTAAAATGCAAGCTGTTTGGGGAAATTTGGCCGCGACGTTGTCTATATAGCCTTGTTGATGCACATTCAGTTGTGCGTGGGTGGGCCCAGTGGCGGAGCGTGGAGCCGGTGGAGTGTCGGGAGATGCCGTGAGGAGGAGCAACAGCTCTGGGCGGAGAGGGGGAGAGGGTCTTTGAGCTCTTTGGCTGAAGCGATGTCAGGCAGTTAGTTCCGTTGGTTCCGACGTCTGCATTCCCAGATCCCCGATACATTTTTTTTGCAGCGTCGACCCCCAGAGGTCTCGACCTGTTCCCCAGGGCCAGCTCTTCATCCCGAGTCGTTCTCACGGCCCCGGGATCAGCAAAACATCTCCCGCTGTGATTTTTCACGACGCGGGAGGGGTTGGGGGTGGGGGGGGAAGGGGGCGGGGCTGCACGTCTGGCACAGGCGACTACAGGCGGGTTGATCTGAGCCTGGGGAAGCACACGACCGAGCGGTCGGCGGAGCTCGAGCAGCTCGCCCTCGCCGAGGTGGCGTCTGCCCCGCAGGATCCCTCGCGCCGCAGGGCATGAGGCGGAGCAGGGAGGGGAGGGAAACAACTCACTGGAGGCACAACGTCGTCGTCGTCGTCCCTGTCGTCGTCGTCGTCGTCGTCGTCGTCGTCGTCGTCGTCGTCCGTCAACCGTCGTCGTCCCTGTCGTCGACGTTGTCGTCGTCGTCGTCGTCGTCGTCGTCGTCGTCGTCGTCGTCGTCGTCGTCGTCGTCGTCCGTCAACCGTCATCGTCCTCGTCGGCAGCGTCGTCGTCTTCGTCGTCGTCCGTGCATCCGTCGACCGTCGTCCGTCGTCCGTCTTCCGTCGTCGTCGTCGTCGTCTCTCGTTCGTCGTCCGTCGTCCGTCGACGTCGTCGTCGTCGTCGCCGCCGCCGCCTTCGTCGTTGTCGTCGTCGTCGTCGTCGTCGTCGTCGTCGTCTTCGTCGGCGTCGTCGTCGTCAGTGCGCTTTTTGCCTTCGAGGCCTTCGATGTTTGCCTTCATTTTCAGCCTTCAACTTTAGCCTTCAGTTTAGGCCGTCTGTGCCTTCAATTTAGGCCTTCAGTTTTTGTCTTCAGAAGTTTCTGCCTTCAAGGAGGGAGGAGGGGGCGGAGCAAGCGGATGGGGCCCCAGACCTCGCTCGCGAGCGAGCCAGCGAGCGAGAGTGCCTTGCAGCAGGCGGCGCGTGAGCAGGGAACATTATGACATTGGCTGTCGCACATTGCCTTCAGCAACCGCTCCGAGCCGCCACTGCGTAATGAAAAACTCACGCCGGGAGGTTTTCAGCGATTTTCGGCCTCTGGGACCGTCCAACAGCGACTCGGGCTCAGAAACCGGTCCCTAGGAAGGGGCCCAGACATCTGTGGTGGGTCTGGGGGGTAAGGATGAGGAGGGGGACTTCAGGGTAGCTCACACGTTGCCTGTTCCGTGTGAAACCAGAATCCCGCAGAAGCCCATCGCCTTCTACCTGCACGGCCCCGCCGATCCCATGTACTGGCATGGCCGCGCTGGTGCGGCCTGCAGCCGAGCCTGCCCTGTCTGCCGCTTTGTGAGGGAGTGGCGTCCACGCGCCGCTGTCAACGTTAGCCCGCGTTCGCGCCCAACCAGTCCCACCATGTTCGCCACCTATCACTGCCACCACCGTTCGCCACCACTACTGCCCACCCCCGCAGCCACCACCGTCTACCAATACAACCCGCCACTATCTCCAACCAACACCCAGACCACCGCCAATCAGGTACCACCATCACCCGCACTCGCTGCATGCAACCGCCAACGCCACCGCCAAACTTTGCCACGATCGCGATCGGCACCATTAGTCCTTGCTACCACCGCAACTACTACTACCGCCCGAAACACGACCCATTGCCACCACCACCGCCTCCACCGCCGTCACCGCCTCTGCCGCTGTCACCGCCACCACCACGATCGCCACGATCGCCACCACGAGCACTGCCACCGCAATCATCGACTTCAGTCCCTTCGTGGAGTTACGGCACTGCCAGGTATGATTGCGTTCACCTCCCAGGATATCTCGCGGCAGTTCTTTTTGTTGTTCTATTCGGGTAGTTCAGTCTGCTAATCCCACAGCTCACGTCCAGTGATCCTAGACACTGCCAGCGTCCCCTCTTAGTTGTGCACGCACTCGTTTGTGTCGTTGTGGTCGTAGTTGCATACTTCTCCCTTGTGATGAAGGCTCTTGATTTGATGGGCATGCCCGTGTGGCTTTTGCAAGCGTTCTACCAGCGTAAGCTCCAAATCCACGTGGTGCCTGCTTGTGTGCTGGCGACGCGCAGTCGTTGGCGACGGTGTCGTGAAAAGCGAAAGAAGGGAGGGGTGAGGTGGGCGGCCCCCTACCGGCTTGGGCGTTCCTTACCTGTCTTCGCTGCCTGCTTTGAGCGGGCGGCCCTATCCGCGGGGATCGGGCAAAGGGGGGGGCACCGAGGCCCAGAAAGGGGCCCGCGAAAGTTGGATGGACCATCGACGCTCGCAGCGTCTGCGGGGGGGGGGCCCGGGTTTCTCCCACTCCTGGGTGTCCTTTTCCTTCCTTCCTTCCCTATTGCGATTCGGATCGCACGGTCGGGCATCAAGTCCTCGGGTGGCAGGGGCCTGAGCTTGGGCCCCCGGCGCCGCCGCCCGAAAAGGAACCGCCGCCGCGCCGCTATTTGGAACCGTCGAGGGTATGCCTCAGTGTGTTAACATGTAAGCAGTTCCTCCCTAAACTTTC